GAAATCATAGGGATGTTTAATTTATAGAATTTATTAATCCAAGAAGGGATGAATTCCTGATAATTATATGTTGTTCTCTTTGTTTTTTTGATCTTAATGTTATGCGAAATGATAATGTATTGATACTCTACCAAGAGGGAATTTTATAATATGCTAATCATTTTATTAAAATTACTTAATTGTCTATAATTAATATAACCGTATTGTATGTAATAAACATACTTTTGGTATGAACAATAACAATGACATAGTAAAATTGTTAATTGATCTTGATAGGGCGTTGCGTGAAAGTTAGCCTATAGTTAACTAATGTATAGAGTACACTTGAATTTTTTATTTTTTACTTTGGTTGAGTGGGAGAGATGTAATTGACTTTGTTTGATCTTGAAGTTATTATGAAGTCAATGAGAGATGTTTACTTAGTTTTGACGTCAATATGTGAGTTTATTTTGAAATGAAATTTTTATTAGGCTTCTTTTAGAAGAATTTTGATTTTCATATCATGTTAGATCAACTTGGATTTTATTTTTGGGTTTAAAGTTTCTAAAGTTACTTTAGATAACTTTTTCTAATGTTCACCAAAATACACATAAAAAATGTGAGTCTCATATATTTTTTTTCTCTCTCTTCTCTTCACTTGGGTCCACAGGACCCCAAACACTTTTTTGTGTGTATTTTAGTGAATATTAGATAAAGTTATCTAAAGTAACTTTAGAAACTTTAAACCCTTTATTTTTTGGTGATGAAAAAAATTAACGTTAGACTCTCAAATTATTGATTATGAATTTTATTTTAATAGTGATTTGATGATGTAATGACTTCCTTGAGTCTTAAGGAAAATAAGTTTGGTTCATGTATTTACTTTAAGGTCAGCGGGAGAAAATTCTTTTTTTGTGTGTGTATTATAAGTGGATGACATGATTATTGAGCAAATTGACATAAGTTCTTGGTCACTAAAGCTCTACTAAGGGACTTAGGCATGTAGTGTTTAAATATATATTGAAAACATGAACATTGTGAGTTCCATTGATATACTTGATTAGTGAGAGTTAGAATTCTCAAAAAAAAATTATTGTGTTGAACATTTTATTTAAGACACTATTACTATTTGGTTGACATGTATTTTTTATTATGAGAAATTGATAATGCGTTGAGTCTTTTGCTATTATATATGTTTGAGAGTATATGATTTTGCATGTCAATTGCAAAAATTTGAACTCAGAACCATCATGCCTGTGGTTGACACTATAATAGAGTTTAAGGGATTATGATGAGACTTTGGAACTTAGTGTTGTTAGGATCATCATGTCTCTGGTTGACATTATATGAGAGTTCAAGACATAATAATACTATGAAACTTGATGTTGTTAGGGCTACTGGGCCCATGGTCGACATTATTATTGAGTGTATACTGATTTTTGATACACTATAATTTCTTTGACTTTAAGGAATTGAGAGAAATTCTGAGGACTGATAAAGAATATAGCAGCTTGACTTTTGTTGAATCACATTGCATGCTATTTTCTTATTACACTCCACACTAATGATTAGTCGATGGAGTCAATTAACATTTGTGACCGTGGAAGATCTTATTCAATAAAGGTCTGCTTTATTGTTGTTTGACTTTAGTTGGATGGAGTAGTTATATTCAGATGTTGCACCTTGATCATGTGATTTCTTAAATGTGGTCATATTACAAAATTTAGTCCTTAGCCCAAGAGTCATTTTTAAATAATTTGTTTAGGATGCTATATTTTTTATAATAATTATTGTGGGTTGCAATTAATTATGTTCCTTTTTCTTGTTTTAATAAAAATGAGGGAGGTCATGATCTATTTGAGCTGCATTATATATTTTCACTTGATTAAGTGATCATTTTGTTTGGACTTGGATATTAATATGAATAACAATGTAGGCCTAACCCATAGGTCCATGATAGGAAGTGGACTATGATTAATAAATTTGGCTATATCCGTCTATATTCACAGAATGTGTGAAACAATCGCTCCACAACTTGACCTGTCGACGATTGTGTACTGGGAATGGTGTGAACTACATAGGAATACAGGAGCATACACATCAAGAATCATGTCTAAAATAAGTAAAGTTAAATATTTTTGTGTTCTAATTTCATATAATCCTAATTTTATTTTTTCTTACAATATAAATATATATATAGGATTAATGTTTCTCATGTTGTAAGATAAAAAAGAAAACATGGACCCACACACTTTTATACGTATGTAGGAGATAAAATTATCTCATACAACATGAGAAATATTAATCTTATATATATATATATATGTATGTATATATAGGGGTTTTTATTTCAACTGTCACAGGAGATAAAGTTATCTTCTGTAACCTCAAAACTACGTCATTTTAAGGGTTTTGAAAAATGACTCAGGAGAGAGAGAAAAAAAAAACAACTTTAATATTATAACTATGTACTACCTGCAACACATACTTAAAAAGGGATAGCTTGATATAAGCTTATCTCAAGTGTATGGGTGTAACAGGGTTAGGCCGACCTACAGAGGCCTATGACCTAGCCTATATTAGGCCAGACTTGGCCTATTAAAAATAGTTAATTAAACCAGGCCTATACTTTAAATAAAATCTATTTAAAAAGCAGGCCATAGATTTTTTGTACATGTCGGGTCTATAAGCCTATAGGCCGACCTATATCATATTATTTATTTTAAATAAAATTATTATTTTAATAATTTTGAATAATAAAGTAATATTATTTTAGTTATTGAATGTTTAATAGGTTTAAATAGGCTAACACGCATAGACCAAGACTTTTCTTTTTTAAATACAGATCAGACCAGACTTGTAATTTGAGCCTACACAGGCTAGCAGGCCAGGCCAAGCCCAATATTTTTTTACATAGGCCTGGCCTATTTACATCCCTACTCAAGTGGCCGGAGAAATGCTAACTTATATATATATATATATATATATATATATATATATATATATATATATATATATATATATGAGATAGGATCCTTTGACACCGATGTCAAATTTTAAAATTTGGCACCAAATCCTAACCATTGATTTTCGTCAATCAACGATTATCATTTATTGAGAATCACTTATTAATTCCCAATAAATGATAATCGTTGATTGACGGAAATCAACGAATTGGATTTGGTGTCAAATTTCAAAATTAGACACCGGTGTCAAAGGATTAGGGGTGTTAACGGGCCGAGCCGAGCTTTGATCTTAACGGGACAAGCCTGTATTTAAACGTATCCGACTGGCCTTAGCCTGTTACCTGTTACGAATATAATATTGGCTTGTGGCCTGGTTTATTTACAAAAAATAAAAGCATGTGTGAAGCCTGTCTTAGCCTGTTAGCATGTTAAAGAATAAAAATAAGAGAACATAATTCCACAAAAAATCAATTTCCAGATAGAAATCTTAGCTTCCAATTTGCAGCAATAATTTACAAAGTCTACAATAAATAAAAAAAATTAAAGTGAGAGAAGGTAGATAACAGATTATATTATCTTAGCCCATTATAAAAAAAGTGCCAACAAAAATAAAAATAAAATAAATAAAATAAAATAAATTGATACAAACGAGAAGTGCACAGTGGAACGAATGAGTTTTTGTGGGTTTGTTTGTGTGAAGGAGGATGAAGGATAATATAGAACAACACTAGTAATTCCATAAATATACATAAATTCAATATATATATCCAAATAGCATAATATAGAACAAAATCATTCAAAAAGTCTGTTAAACCAATAAAATGGGGTGAAATAAATTGATGAGAGAGAGTTATTACAAGTAGTATAAAAAATATAAATAAATATTTATATACTAGGCTAGCCTGAGAGACTCTAAGGCCGAGCTTCTGAATTAGAGTCTGAGGCTTTTTTATTAAACGAGCTTTTATACAAGTCCAAGCCTGATTCCAACACGAGCTTTTATTAAACGAGCTCATGCATTTACGAGCCGAGCCAAACGCCCTTGACTCGTTTACCACCCCTACAAAGGATCATATCCTCCCTCTCTTTCTCTCTCTCTCTATATATATATATATATATATATATATATATATATATTTCATTTTTAAAATTTGGTATTATTTAAAAAAAAATACATGATTTGAATTTCTATTATAGATATTAATTATTTTAAAACATCAGAACATGTTGTCATCTGTTGGTCCTCCAAATATTCTTGCACCAGAAGATTTGCAGTGTCTTCCTCTCTCTCTCTCTCTCTTAAATATATTGTCTATTGTCTTAGCCCATCTTTGCTTCAAATTTCATTTCTTTTTCATTTAATTAAGGGTAGTGGAAGCAAGGATAAAAAAGCAACAAAGAGGATGAGACCACATCCTCTGTTTTCATTCTCATTCTCAGATTTTCCTACCATTCAAATTTTCACATAGCCTCTCCTTGTTATTATTTTTTTTGTTTCAATTACCTTCCATTCATCCTTGAATGGTCAATTTTCCATTTGGGTTGTTCCCTTTTTGTTCCTTGATTTCTTCAGCTTTTCTGAATTTCTTCTCTGATCTCAGAAAAGAAAATTGAAAATTGAAAAAATAAAATATAAATTTATTTTATTTGCTGGATTAGATATTCTGGTTCCGTTCTTGATTGATGCTCCAAAGATCCGATTCTCTCAGATCGAATTTGACAAAACCCACTTCGTATTTGATAGAAGCATCAACTGGGTTCTGTCTGAGTTTTAAGATAAGGTGACCCATCTTCACAGATTTATGTAATCTGCATTTCTGATCGCTTTGATTTGCTCTTGCTGGTGAAAGATTGAATTTTTCTGAAGATTGAGCTCAATTATACATTATCCAATAAGCTATGCATTTAGATTGGTTCTGGGACAGCCCATCACTGAATAATTTAGATTATGTGTATTGAAATTTATACTTATTATGTTTCTGTTTTTGGTTGGCATGAAAATTCTGACTCAAAATGAATGGTTTGTTTGAATCTGTTCAATGGAATCAATGATTGATGGTTAACTGGTTATGGTTGGTATCAAAACAGATGGAATCGGATCTTGGCAAGCTCTTCATTGGGGGAATTTCCTGGGATACTGATGAGGAGCGTCTCAAAGAATATTTTGGGAAATATGGAGAGGTGATAGAGGCTGTGATCATGAGAGATCGCTCAACAGGTCGTGCTCGAGGTTTCGGTTTTGTTGTCTTTGCTGATCCTGCTGTTGCAGAAAGAGTCATTGTGGATAAGCACATAATTGATGGCCGTACAGTGAGTTTTTTCATTATAGATGTACTAGGCATTGTGTCAATACATTTTCTTTGGCCCTGCAGTAATGCCATCTGGCTAAATTTTTTGTTACTGATAGAGATTATTATTTCCCTACTTTTATATTTTCTACTTTGTTGGTTTGATATAAATCATGTTCACTTTTGGCTCCATTGAGCTGATTCTCAGCAACTTTTGTTGCTTGAATTTTTAAATGAGCATTATAACAAGCTTGACTTTTTTTTGCTTATAGGATAGGAAACTAAAAATGGCTTGCAGACTTTGATCTTGTGTTGTGCTCTTAATTTTCAGGTTGAAGCTAAGAAGGCTGTTCCTAGGGATGATCAGAACACTATAAATAGACAGTCGGGTGGTGTCCAAGGATCTCCTGGTCCTGGACGCACAAAAAAGATTTTTGTTGGAGGTTTACCATCAACAATCACGGAAAGTGATTTTAAGATGTATTTTGACCAGTTTGGTACAATTACTGATGTTGTAGTAATGTATGATCACAATACCCAGAGGCCAAGAGGTTTTGGCTTCATCACTTATGATTCAGAAGAAGCTGTGGACAGAGTTCTTCATAGAACATTTCATGAACTCAATGGAAAGATGGTTGAGGTCAAGAGGGCAGTTCCCAAAGAGCTATCCCCTGGACCTAGCCGGAGCCCGTTGATAGGATATAACTATGGTTTGAATAGAGCCAGTACCTACCTAAACAGTTATGCTCAGGGTTTTAATATGAATCCAATTGGAGGATATGGAGTTAGGATGGATGGTAGATTTAGTCCACTTACTAGTGGTAGAAGTGGGTTTACCCCATTTGGCTCCAGTGGTTATGGAATGGGAGTGAATTTGGATTCAGGATTGAACCCAAGCTATGGAGGGACTTCCAATTATGGGAGCAGTCTAGGATATGGTCGGATTAGTCCTTTCTACAGTGGCAACTCTAGCAGATATACTACTCCTATTGGCTATAGTGGGGGCAACGGGAGAAGTGATTCTCTTATGAACTCAACTTCTCGGAATGTCTGGGGAAATGGAGGCCTGAATAATGCTGCCAATAACCCCCTCAGTTCTGGTGCTTACTTGGGATCTGGAAGTGGAGCTTTCGGTGTTTCAATCGGAAATAGTGGGACAAATTGGGGTCCATCTGTTCCAACCCAGGGTGGAGGAGCTGCTTCTGGCTATAGTAATTGGAGTAATGTTTATGAAGGTGGAGATAGCAGCATCGGATTAGGAGGGGGAGGATATGAAAGGAACAGCAGCGCAAGTGTGACTCAGTCCTCAGCTTTTACTGCGCCAACTGGTGGTTATGAAGGATCCTACGGGAACTTGTACCGCAGTGGTTCAGTTTACAGTGACTCAACTTGGCCGTCTGCTGCTTCTGAGATGGATGGTTCTGGTTCATTTGGTTATGGACTTGGTGGTATAACTTCAGATGATCCAGTAAAGAGTTCTGAGGGTTTTATTGGAAACTACAATGTAACAAGTAGACAATCTAATAGAGGTCAGATCTTTGGCTAGATTCTTCTCTCCTGAAGAAAATTAGATCTTAGTTTATGAATGTTTTGCTGTTTGTTTCTTTTCTTTTCTTTTTAATAAAATCAATTGTGTGTTTTTAACTTTTTAATGTTTTAGCTTATGAACTAGTCTGAAGGAAGTTGAAAAATAAATCGATTGTGCTTCTGAACAGCATGTTTGTAACTGTGATATAGATAAAGATACCTATGAAACATTGTTTGCGTCTTCTTTTAATTATACCAAATACTCTAGATTCCTGACTTTTGCAACATATCTCTTTTCTTTTTCCTGGATTCTTGATAGCTTTCTTGTAAATTATTACTACAATCTAAAAGAACATTAGCTTCCTGTATTTAAGCCTGGGTTTCTTGATCACTTTCATTTAAGGATATTGGAATTTGATGTTTCATGTGAAGTTATATTAGCTTGCAAGATGCTAAAGATACATGTGTGGATTACTCTTGCTCATGTTAAATGTGTATAATTATTTTCTCATGAATTAGGCATTGAGAGTTTCAAACTGTGTAATTAAATGCAGAAGGATAGATTACACTCCTTTGATTCATTAATGATCATGAATTTTGTTGTTGGTTATCCATTCTCGTATTATATTATTGTGAAATGGTTTATATTTGAGCATGTCTAATACATTTTTTACATGTTCTGATTTAACTTCGCTGTATATTACTCAATTTCTTTTGTTGTATCTCCACTTGCTTCAGGAATTGCTGCCTAGGAGATATGATAATTGGATATGTCATGGTAACTGTAGATCAAAGGAAACCGGTTAAAAAAAATGAGGTATCGTGAATTCATACATCTCCTTCATTCTAGAGATATCAGCTATTAAGGAAATTCAACATATATAGCTAACGGGTGTTCTTTCATTTGAAGTATACATAAGCTAAATCAGTTACAATGGATTTTGTGTAAGGTTTGGGATTTTTGTTTTGTCATCTTTTTGTTTTTTCAAGGCATAGGTTCCTTTCTTGGAATTTGATTGAGGTGTATAATCAGAATTCGGGATATACTCAGGAAGATTGGTTCCAATAGTGTAAAAGTGCATCTCTGGAGAGGGGCACCATCGTTAGTATGTTCAATAATAGTGTATTAGTTTTTGAATTTTTTTCTTTTGCCACTGTAATGCCTGGCAAAGCTATTTGTTCTTGTCACCATCTTTATTTGTGGGACACGTTTCTGATCAAATTGTAAGTGAGGTTCAGTTTGATTTTATGAGGTTTGTAACATGAGAGGGGTACCATCTAGGATCCCCATCAAATAATTAAGTTACTGGACAGTTATTATTTTTTGTAAGACTTGTGTTATACAACTGTACACTTGGTCTATTTTTACAGTCAAAATCTTTTTTCCTGCTGATTGTTATGAATCTACACATATATAATTTAATTCTTTCCACCTCTTGTTTGGTTTTGGCAACTTTGTGGTGAAATTATTGAGCATGTTATTGGATGTATGGACCTGAATTTATTGGTTGAAATATTGGACCATGGTTCAAGATAGAAACTTAAGGTAGCTTAAGTTTGTCAATAGCAACTTCATGGTTATTTTGTTTTTCTGGTTGTTTTCTTTCATGCAATTCCATTCTAATAACAATTGGGATTTGGATCTTAAACTTAATGTGTTTGTGTTCATGTTGAAGCTTATCCTTATGTGGATCAGGATTTCTGGATTTGTCTTTTATCACTTTCAGTTTCCCCCCTTAAAACACCACGTGACAATGTGGTCCTCTTCTCTCTCTCTCTCTCTACACACAATTGCTTACATTCATAGTAGTAGCTATTAAAACAGCTAATATTTCTTATGTTAAATAGTTTACTTGAGGTTGGGGATATGATTAGGAGCAATTTTGCTTTTCGGTGAGTTGGAGTTAGGTCAATATCATTTGATGTTGGCATGGGGTCCTCTTTCTTACGTTTCATTAAAATTATATTTATTTGAATCTATCTCTTCGTAGAGTTTATCAACTTTTTACCAATTTATTTGGTGCAAGATGTTCCTAAAAAGTGGTTATCAAATTATATGCTTTTCAAAGTAATGTTATAGTAAATTTCTCGTTTTTGTGAACAATATTTCTTTTGATGATAATATTTGCAAGACTTTAAATTTGATTTAAAATAAGAAAGTTTCATAAAATTATAGTAACTAGTTTTCAATTTTAAAAAAATTGTAAATTATTTTAAATAACTGATACCATAACTGTTTTCAAAAGCAATTGTCTTAGGTAAACACCTTAGAGAAAATGCAAGGGATATATGGCATGTTTAGCAATTCAATTTTCCGAATATTTACATGCTATAATTATACTCAAAAGTTCAGTTTTTTAAATGTGACAAAGGATAAGGAGGTGATTTATCATAAAAATAAAGTTTAATATGTGCATTTAAACAATTTTAAAAATAATGTGCCCGTGGAGAAGGCAAATGTTGGACCTAGTTGTGATAGTAATCGGAAGGTTATTTTCAAAATAATGTATGTGAAAATAACTTAGTTAACAAAAAAGAAAAAAGAACGTGCTTATTCTTTCATTATTTTTTAAATGTGTTTTCTTTGAGCATCTTAAAAAAAGAGAGACACAAAAAGTTAAAGTATTATGTGCTTTGTAATGTAAAATAAAAATATTTAACGAAGCATTATACAAGTATCAAACTTATTATTAAAAATGTTCAAATAAGGACAAAATGTTCAAATTGATGAATAAGTCATAAAATTCAAAGAAGAAAAAAAGTTTATTTACAAGACTACAGGGACAGAATCAAAAACTTTTTAAAGAGGTGCTATATAACAGAATTTAGTATATGTATAAATTTGATTTTTATATATAAGTCTCATCTGCAGAATTATATATATTAAGCATAAAATCTTTTCAACTTTGGGAGACGGCAACCCCTCATCTCCCACCTAAGTCTGCGATGCAAAATTCAAAAGATTTTATTTAGTGTGACAATTGAAGAAAATAGAGTGGCTAAAATAAGTTTTAAATAAAATTAGAAGGGTGTTTAAATAATCCTTTAGGAGCTAAACGGTACAGTGTAATCTTTGATTAGATGATGATGGAAGGGTTGTACCTAAGTTGGTCATGAATATTATCCCAACATAATGAAAAAGACAAAGAAAAGATGGATGTCACCAACCCAATTTATAGAAATTTTAAATTAGTGCATTTAATTTGCTTGATTCTACTAACCTAATTTTATTCAATAAACTTGGCTAAAGAATTGCCACAACCTTGAAGTTTCCGTAGTGAAGCAAGCAATATTCTTCCACGTTGAGTTGTTCACAGAAAAGCTTACCAGAATGCTTTTATGTTGTCTGTGTCTGTATGTGACAGCAAATGCTTTTCTATTGGCGTTGGGGCCCTGTGTTTCTTTGAGAGTTGTGATCTTACCAATGGTCATGTCACAGCCCACAGAATTATTAGGCTAGTTATATGTTTGTTGTGGGACCTTTGCAATTGCAAGTGAATCAAATTTCTAAGTTGATGTCAGAAATGAATTGTTATGAATAAGTTTACATCTTTTGGTATCGCTCCCAACTTGTCATGTTGACATGTTCCACATCCCATGCCATATTTGTACAAGCATTATGCTAAAATCAAACCTTCGATTCTAGGTTATAATAATTTTTCTTTTCTTTTGTTTTCCAAAACTATCCTTCGACTAATTTTTCTCAGGTCTCGAGATTCTCGAAGTGAGTATAGTCTCTCTTAATAATTTTTTTTTTTTTTATACACACAATTAAGAATCAAATCTCTATCAACATATTTAAAGAATCAGACTATCTATTAATTGTATTGGACTTTATTGGTATTCTAGGTTATTAAGAGATAAACAAAAACCAAATAATCAAATAAAAGAAGTGTTATGGGCCATTATCCTTGCCCCATCATCTACAAATCGAGTTTATTTTTATTAACCAGTGAATTGTAATGCGATGAGTGTAAATCGCTTTAAGATCAAAATGTTGAAAACTTTTGTCGACATAAAAAGAATAGTTGTAATAATAAAAACATAGCTTCACTTTTTCTGCAGTTATCGCAGATAAGTTATCTGCAGTAAGTCTAATACGACATTGTTTTGAGACGAAAATCATGGTATTTTTGTAATTTTAATTTATTTCAGTATTATTATAGTTTTTATAATTATAATTTTTTAATATTTCAATCTCAAAACAACGTTGTTTTGAGAGTAATTATAGATAACTTATCTGTTGTAGAAATATTTTTCTGTAAAAACATTTAATTGATAATTTTTTTATTACTGGTTTTCGTAATTTGGTAATATAAATTATGATTATATATCAAATATTTATTTTATATTAATATATGCATTATTTCTTTGATTTAAAAAATGTAACCATATTGATTAAGATTTTATAGTTTATTATGATTTATCTACAATTTTATTATATTTGTGTTATAAATACAGTTTTAACTTTTAAGTGTTGTGTTAATACATGCCAATGAGAACATTTTTGCTCAAAGTGACACCTTCTTTGACAGGTTGAGAATATAGCAAGGGTTGCTCCAACAAGTTCTTACAAAATCTCTGTAAGAACTTGACATGACAGTCAAAATCATTTGATATGGCAGGAGTCAGTCTGAAATCTTAAGAGGTCAACTTGTTCGGATCATGCCTTAAACCAGTGGCGGACCTAGAGAATTTTATTTATGTTTATACATTTAGTGGTGGGGATTCACCCTCGAATTTTTTTTATAAAGAAAACTTCAAATGTATTAAAAAACAAATGAATATAAACAAGAAAACTTCAACTTAACGTAAAAAAACAGAATCAAGAGTCAACTAAGTTATTACAATAAAACAATTACAAAAGTATTCTTCGATTCTTCATTCCTTCAAAATATTGCATTATATCTTCATCATCGGTTTTATCAATTTTATTTGTTAGATATAATCGGGTCCGTCGGCTGATTAGGGTTATATAGAAAAACAAATGTTATTTATGATGATATATTGAATATTGCAATTATTTTTCATGTTAATGTGAACATTTAATATCGAATCCAAATAAATTTAAAATTAAATAAACGGAAAAAAATCAATTAGAAAAATTTAGATATATACAAAGAAAATAAATAAATAAAATATAAAAAAATTGAGTAACAAATTATTTTAAAAAAAAATTCTTAATAAAAAACAAAAGCCCTTATAAAAATGGAATAATATTTTATTAAAAAAATAAAACCTCCTTTTCTATTTTGCAAAAAAATGAAACCACCTCCCCCATTTATAAACCAAACCCCCTATGTGAAAAAAAAAATTCCCACAAACTTATGTCTGCAAGTGCAGACAATTGCACATATATGAGTCCACCCCTGCCTTAAACACAATATGTTTGAAAATATTTTCAGCGCTACTGTCACTCTGAATTTGGATCTTCTAACGTACAAAAGAAAAGTAATCAAGTGATCATGTTAATTATTTTTAAATGAAAAAAAAAAGAAAGAAAAATATATGATTTTTAAATGAGTAGTCATGATCAAATAACGTGACCACATCACCAATTTTTTCACGTGAAAAGATACAAATCCACTGTCACTACAGCAAAGTCGGTACATCTTGCAATCTTGCTATGTATGCTACGGTGTGGAAATTAGTTCAGTGGGACTGGTGTCGAATGTATCCAACTTTGAAGTGTCCTTTGAACAGATTTTCAGCCCAACAAAGCCAATCCAACATTCTTTGAAGTCTATATAACTTTTGGAGGAGAGGACAAGAATTGGAATGGATGGACTAGCTGCTCTTCTGCAGATATAAACAAGTGTTAGGTGTTAGAATTAATTGAATTTGGGCTTCTGATGAGTTGGATTTTCTAATATCACATTATGAGAGGTTATGTGGTGTCAGAAAGTATCATTAGCAAAAAAGTATTGATTTTATTGGCAGAAAGGAACTGGAGAAAAATTTTGAGAGGACTTTTTCTGAGCATGATTTCTGGAGTGGGTTCAAACTTCAAAGGTATTTGAGAACTTAGAGGCTAGTGACCTTGTGAAGATAATGCTAAAACCTGAAATACGTTATGTGAATAAGATCCATCAGATCCTAATTCTCAGCTAAATATATCGCGCATTATATATCCCCATTTCATACAAACTGTTTATATTTTAAGCTGCACTCCAACTCTTAAAGCTACACTATCTTGGAATTTTAGAATTTTGCCTGGCTACCCTTTTTCTAATTCAATTTTTCTTATTCAGTGTTGTAGGCGTAGCTTCACATTAGAACAATGGCTATAGAGAATCAACACGTAGCAACTTACAGTCCTGAGAAGAACCTCATTTCAATCAGCATTAATGGAACCTACGATAGAGTAGCTTGGAGGACAGTTAGGTTACTATATTGAAGTACTTGACAGAAAGTTTTAAGAATCATTCAGCAACTTATAATTGCAGATATCCTAGACAAAAAATAATATGACACTCATGTGAAGGGTTTTGCTAAGTTTGGAATGTGGTGGGCGAAACATACAGGGATACTGGTCAAATTGCATGAATTTGACATATATTTGAAGTTCTCCCATACATTAAAAGGGAGCTCAGATATTGGTCTTAGATTTACAGTAGTAGATTTTAATTTCATCAACAAGGATTTCTACCATACTTAACATCTTCTGAGAGTATGTCAATTTCATTAAGAATAAACATGATCATTCCAAAGTTGTTGAACTCGGACAAAAGATCATAAGGCTTTAAGGCCCAAAGTTATTGACGGGCTCGAACCCGCAACTTCCGCCTTGACAGGGCGGTGCTCTGAATGAGGGGAAATACACCAGGTGCCGTAGCTAATCGAGTAGCTCTCGAAGCGTGTGTATAAGCTCAGAATGAAGGGCGTGATCTTGCTCGTGAGGGTAATGAGATTATCATATATATATATATATATATGGGAAGAGATCTTTTGACTCTAGAGTAAGACTTACAACTCTTACTCCTCATCTCAACCGTTGATTTCCGTACATCTAACGGTTACTATTTATTTACCGAAAAAAAAATCCATGATGCTGAATGGCACTCTTGTTCGTTTTGATATAGACGAAAGTAAAATCAAAGATGATTTGGTCCCATCAACTTTAGCATTCACCATGTGAATGCGGGACCATGGTAACCGATTTTAATTTGGCACCATTGTACATAACATAAACCTTATGTTGGATGAAATCCGATTACACAATTATTGACATTCAAAACAAAAAGGAACACAAGGAAATAACGTTAAGACAGATAAAGTTCATGTAGCAGTTAAGATAGGACCAAGTCTGTGAGAGTACAAAGTTAAGATCCGTGTCACCTATAACATATCAAGAAGTACAGAAGAGAGAACCACACTGGATAATACATTATTTCATTTCACTACTGATATCAATTTTCGTTCTGAAATCTAAGTCACCAGGGAAGCAAAAGCTCAGAAGAAAGCACGGCTCCCATAAAATACACGGGAGTTGCCACTCTTTGAAGCCTGTAGTTTCTGTTCAGAGCTTGAGTTTCCTGAATTAGTTGGTCCACTTTCAAAGTCCATAGGAAGCTTCATTTTTGCTAATGACTCGGTGAATTGGTGCATGCTTTTCATGTACATGTCTACTATATCCTGTTGCACCAACTTTGGCTCTGGCTCAATGTTCATAGTCACAACAGGCTTCGGGAATGATTCATTCAGCACAACGTTTGAGGAATCACTCTCACCATCTTTGACATCCACACTTTTCTCTTTGGTGCCTGAAACTTGTTCCTGAAGGGGAGACTTAGAAGCAGCACCATCAGATGATTCTGAGCTTGCAGCCACTGAAGGAGAGGAAACCCCATTTGTTGACACACTACTTGGTGGAGAATCAACCTTAGGAGGTTGGAGAGACTCAACACTGCATGCTGAGAAGCTTTCCACAAGTTGAACACCTGCTTCAGAACTAAGATTTTCAGCATCAGTAGTGGTCAAGCTATCAGAGCACTGACTCTCCTCACATGGAATGCCAAAATATTCTGAAACCATCAAGTGGTCTTCATTTACAATTTTTGGATCTGGGAACTCAATTTTATCTAAATCTCTGATCAGTGACTCGCATGTATCAGAGTCCTTCTCAGTGCCATTTGTGGCCAACTCAGTAGGCATTGCAGAAATTGTCATAACATCAGGCAAAACACCACTATAAGCAAGAGACAATTGAACAAAACCTGCTGGAGAATGGAATAGATCAGTTGAAGATAGAGAGAATTCTTTCCCTAGTTTCCCATCTTTCACCAGTACTTCACACAAAGGCACCAAAGCAAAACCAAGCAACTGGTCTTCAAGATAATTCCTCACCCTGCTCAGCATCCAAATCTCACATTTGAGAACAGAATCAATTGTCCTAACGCTTAGACGAAGATTCTCATTAAAGACAGGGTTCCTTCCTCCTCCATTGATAGTCTTGGTAGAGATAGTATTCTCAGGATTACTAGTCAAGAAAATCTTAGCATAAACATCTTGCTTGTGGTATATGCAGATGTTTTGAATGTCCCTGGCCTGATGTATGTAAACATCAACAACACCAATGAATTCCTCGCTATTAGACATGACAGCTTCCTTTCCATTGACTTCAATGTCCTTAGACAAGGGACCAGGGCTTCGTGTTAAAACATCAGACTTGTACTTCTCACCCTCACCCAAGACAGAGCTCCTGAATGGTGACACAACAGATTGTGGAGACTCCATGATATCACTGTGACTGGGAACCTGGCAAAAAACACAAGAACTTCAAGAAAATCAAGTCACCCTATGTTACGCAAAGCTTCAAACTAACTCTACAAAGGATTATTAAAACTTAAAACCCAATACCCAAGAAACAGGAATTAGATTAAATACCAGTGGAAAAACCTTGAACAACTCAAAATTCACTATTCCAGTACCAAAACAGCCAAACACAGCTTGAATAAACTGCTCTACAACCAAGGTTTAAGCAGATCCAAAATAGACAGAAATTTTTCAGTATGTGAAGTACGTAAAATGAAAGGAAGGAAGAAAGAAAGAAGGCAATACTCAACCCCAAAATGTGAAAGAGAAGTAGGAAGCTTCAATTTGAATTCCTCCAAAACGTTGTTAAACTAACAGGAAAGAAGGCAATTCAGAAACAACAACACCGGGTCAAACCTTAAACTTTTACAGCTAAGAGCAGATAAAACACAGAATTGAGAATCAGGAACCAGAACCCCAGCCTCAGCCTCAAAAATTGAAAGTTTCAAGTGAACTCAAACCCAAAGCCGGCCAAAACTTAAAAACCAGCCAAAACAATAAAGGGTAGCGCCAGATTTGACCAGATTCCAATAAAGCTACCAACTTTATTCTGTTGTTCTACACACACAAAAAACCCTACCATCGGAATCCAAGGGAGGAAACAGGGAAAGCAAAGTAAAAAAAAAGCGCGATGACCCAGGTCGTGTCACAGAATCCCAAAACGAACTCACCTAAATTCTCTAAATCACTCAGCAAAAAAGCACAACAAATTAGAAACAAACAAGTATTCAGAGAGAAACATGACACAAAAATTGGGGGTAAAAAAAGAAAAAGAAAAAAAGAGATGTTGTTGTGCTTTTACCTGCCTTAGGCTCTGAGCCAGTTGGACTCCAAAGTCAAAGTGGAATATGCTTGTGACTCTAATCCACAATCAATGGACACCCCACCCCAGTTCGTGAATCGAGGTGGTGTTGAGGGAACAAAACCACACCTTTGTTAATGTAAAACTAAAAGGGTATAGATAGATGAAAAATGTAAAAGGGAAAGAAGGATCAATAGAATATACGGCTGCTGCTTAATAATGGAAAATTTAGATGCGAGCGCGTTTGGAGCTACTGGGAGCTTCTGTGAGTAAGTGCTTTTGTTTTGTTTATTGTGTAGGTACTTTGAACTTTGAAGAGTATATATGGAAATGGAATATATATATGTACGTAGAGGGAGGGCACTATTTTATTTTGTAGGATTTTTTGTGGAGAGAGAGAGAGAGACCAATGAGATTGGATTTGAGTGCGCTTTGTTGTTGCAGGTGGGGACATGATGCTTGTGACTTTTTCTTTATTTTTCTTATCAGATTTTATTTTTCTTTACATACAGAACTGACACAGTCCCCACCCATGACTTTCAGGGACTGCAATTGTGTCCTGTTCTTCTCTATTTCTATTATTACTTCCTCATAATGTTTCCAAATATATGTATTATAATTTAATCGTGTATTATTTAATTTTTTTGATAGCATGTTGGAGGAAGTAAATGTCTGTATTTTTTCCAATTTAAACTGATGTTCTCGGATGGTGTGCACACAGTCTCGGGTACCGAGTTTGACTTACAAGAAGATTCTTCATTTTTCATCTCGGATCGATGAACATGGAACAGTGATCAAAGTGATATTGTTAACCAATTTTTTTACTTAAATACCACGTGAACAATTTTATTTCTCAATTTGTTACGAGACAAGTTTGTTATCCGGTGTAGTGAACTCAGTTTGCTGACGTGTCACGTTTCTAATGAACATCGAATTCGCTACACGGAGTAGCGAACTTGGTTTTAACCAAGTTCGCTACCTAGGTAGCGACCTTCAAAGTTTTTAATTTGCTACTTGTTATCCACTAGAAATGTGACATGTCAGCAAATCGAGTTCGCTACATCGGGTATCGAACTCGCCCCCGTGGCAGATTGAAAAATAAAACTATTCGCGTAACATTTAAATAAAAAAGTTGATGAACAGTGACATTTTGGTCACTGTTTCAATGAACAGCCAAAGGGTCTCATTGTTGTTCACCTAGAAACTTAGTTTACTGTCATGAGTAAAATATTTGTTATCATTTTCATTCATCAGTTGTATTTTATAAATGATTGAAATGGTTTCACATAATTTGTTGTAATTCCGATAAAACTTAATAGAGGCTTGACTATATGTCAAGTAGTTCCATTTCTCTTATTTCTTACGTAGTTCCCTTGAAAATTCCTCGGCTATCCAATTAAGAAAGTGTATAATCGCATAAAGCATCATTAATGTTCTCTATGTTTTTTACTTGAAGAAAAGGATAAAACCAAATTTGATCACTAAAAACCGTATGCAACTAAAGAGTCTAGAAGTAGAGATATTTTCTAGCATAATATCAAAAACCGACCGCTTATACAAGAGCTAGCTTTTGCACTTTAGTTCTAGAATCCTACTCTTTTTTCTACGTTCGGGGGTCCCATGGCATATGCTTCGCCAATGTATTGTGCAACTATTTTACACCAAAGTTGAGCATATAATAAAGGATTAATCATGGAGTGGTCTCCTGCGTCACTCATCTATTCAAAATAACTTGGAGGTATCACGTAGTTTAAAAAAATAAAAAATACGTGCAGGCAAACTGATGAAGTCACTACTTCACTGATTAATAACCCTCAATTGTTATTAAATGATGGTAACTCAGTTGGTAGCAAGGGAACTGACTAAATAGAAAGAAAAGAGTCTTGATTCGATCATCACATGTCACATTTGAGAGATGTTCTTTATCCATGACTTGTCCTATACTCCGGATTAGTCTTATAGCCGACTCAAAAAATCGAAATTTGTGAAAATATCAAAGGAACCAACTCGCCTTAAGAAGGTAATTCGGGATTTATGGTTGAGTTAACTCCAAAAATAAGGAATAACCCTCAATTGTGTCTTTAAAAAAATATGAAATGGTATAAATGTATTTTTTATATGATAACTTTATTTTCTCTAAATATATTAATAAATTTATTGTTTCGAGATTCATTTTGAGAATTAAGAGAATTAATAAAGGATGCTTTCATATAATTAATATAACAAGAAGTAAACAAAATTTCTAAACTACCATTTATTAATTTTTTCAATCGCAAAATGATGTAATTTTGAAATCGTTGGAGATATAAAAAAATAAATCCTATATTTATTATAAGAAATCCATAACCAAATCCTTACATAAATGCAACATAGAATTGCAATTGAAAATATGACATATTTTTTTATAGATAAATCACATGTATTTTTTATGGGAGGCAATCTTATTCGAAGCAGGTCCAGAATTAAGGTTTTAAATCTCTTCCAAAGATAATATTAAAAAGGATCGAACACATATTCTCACATTCACATGCTCAAAATATATCAAGTTTCATTCAATATAGAAAAACATTTTCAATATCCCCGTAATATTGAGCGATATATATTACTTACTAGAAAACCTATACATTATTATTTTTCTTATCTTTCCTGTATAATTAATGTCATATAAATATCACTTTTATTACTTCAGATAAAGAAGAACCAACTATGAGAGCACTGAAATTATACACTGATGCAATATTATTAAAATCGGCCTGGTCATTGACTCGGTTGAGGTACTGGGTTACTGGTTCTACCGCATTATCCAGTAATTATATGTAATTTTATAATTTATATTAAAAAATTATAAACATACTCAAATATTTAAAAAAAATGTTACAAATTTTAATATAAAAATAATAAATAACATATTATTATCCAATAAATGATCAAACAAAAATATAATGATCGTGATACGGAGCTTTATGTTCAGAAAACGACATCTATAACTATAAATTAAATCAAAATTTTCTGCATAGTGCATAATTGAGATAATATTAGTGTTGTAGGTACATAACTTATGTATGTCAATAAGCAAAAAAATATTCAAATATGTCCATTATGATTTTTTTTTTGAAAAAAAACATTAGATTTTTTTTTAAGACCGGGCTGGATCATCGGTTAACCGACCGGGTCACCGGTTTTCATGAAAACCGGCCGGGTCACATCGGTTCTGATGTATGACCGGTCTGTTGCTTCAACCGGACTGGTTATATGATCGATTTATCGATTCCCGGGTCGGTCCGGGTTTTTGAACAAATCTCTCTCAGTTCATGACTAATCGACTAATTTAATCAAAACGAATTGAATAAAAATAAAAATTCATACCAAATATTTAACTGCAACTATATACTAAAAGTCGAACTATTAAGTCGAAATAAACTCTAAGAATTGATCATATGGTTAGTGGTCTGGTTGTTTTTGTTTAGATATTTTAACCACATCATCGTGAACAGGATTAAGATTTTAAATTCATCCCAAAAATAATATAAAAAAATTAAACACATATTCTCAACCTTACTTATTTAATTATCTGACATTAACTAAACTCCAATAATTTGTTGTGTTCTGAATTTTAAATTCCAATGAATGGCCTATTTCTATTAACAGCACTACAGTAGTATTGGCTCTTCACTCATTGAATTATTTTCCCTTTGCTAGTTGCTACGCGTGGCTTGAAGGACTCCCCAATAATAGAGATACAAATGGAAAAATCTGTTTGCTTTACCCCCTTTGTCTTTTGTTCTTGCCCTTTCTTTCCCTTTCTCTTTTGGGATCGATGAGGATGGATGCGACCCGCTTGAGCACAAGGTGCGTCACGTCGTGCGTGTATTGGGGTACTTTCTTTCATGTGCCTTTTCATTTTTGACACACTGGGTATATCGATGCCGTAATTTGCGTATGAAGCTTTCAGACATTAGACGCCCAAATGAAAATTATTGACCAATAAAGCTACTATAAACACTAAATTATTAATATATTTCAGGCTCTTCTTTGAATATTTGAGGATTGAAAGGACATGTGGGTGCCATGTTAGACTTTTTAATATTGCAATTTGCACTTACATTGAATAAACATAAATGGCTTTGTCAAGATATTGATAGCGAGTAGTTTCATTTCGAAAATAAGATATTCAACATTTATTAACAGAATATTAAATGAAATAAAATTTTATAAGATTCTCACTTGTTTGTTTGTTTGCGTGAGAGAGAGAGAGGATATGCTATCAATTTCGATTGATAGAGAAAAAGATTAGTTTTGCCGTTTTCATTTAGTTACATTGTTCAGCATATCTGCCCGGGTAGATGAATATCCATTTAGAAGTTAATTTAGGTAAGAATAGTTAAATTTAACAAAGGCTATTGAAAATTTGGCATTCCCATCATCCTTTTCACTGCTTTATGCGTTCTATTAAACAACATTTCATGCCTAACCAGATATACTCACCTACTCCCACATTCTTTAAATAAAAACAAATATGGATACATCTTATCCTACCTTTTTTTTTTTTTTTTTTAAAGATAAAACATCCACTCCTGCTTTTAGATAATTAATAATTCTTCTGTCCTTTCAAGTTCATGTCATCGAGATCCATTCTAATAATTCAATATTTCATTTGCGAATTTTACTTCATGAAATATGACCCTTGATTAGCGATAGTGTAAACAACCAATTCAAACTAAAAATTTAAGATGTTAGATGAAGTTATATTAATAATTTTATATAACTCTAATATATTTTCTTATAAGAGAACCTATTTGGCTTGAAAGATAGATGATGTATCATGAGACTCTAAGATCATGTAAAAAATTAATTTAATTCAAAAATTTAAGTTGTTGAATAAAGCTATATTAATAATTTTATATAACTCTAACAGTGATAATACATTTGTTAATATCATGCATACGCATGAGTTGACCTAACAAGCAAATATTTAAAGAAAATCA